CGTTTGACAGTGAATTTGGCCAAATGTGACTTTGCTCGAGCGACTGTTACTTATCTTGGTCATCAAGTGGGTCAAGGTAAAGTACGTCCAGTTAGTGCAAAAGTTGAAGCGATTGAAATATATCCAGTACCAACGACTAAAAAGGAACTCATGAAATTCTTGGGTTTAGTGGGATATTATAGAGCTTTCTGCAGAAACTTTTCGACTGTGGTTGCACCTCTGACAGACCTTTTGAAAAGCAATGTGAAATACATTTGGTCCTCTGTCTGTCAGCAGGCTTTTGAAGATGTTAAGATGATGCTATGCAATTCTCCTGTCTTACTAGCTCCTGATATGACTAAGCCTTTTCAGCTCCAGGTTGATGCCAGTCATGTTGGTGCAGGGGGAGTCCTTTTGCAACAGGATGACTTTTCAATTGAAAGACCTGTGAGTTTTTTTTCTAAGAAATTTAACAAGCATCAGCTGAATTATTCAGTCATTGAAAAAGAGACCCTTGCTCTTATTTGGTCTTTACAGCATTTTGAGGTCTATGTAGGTTCAGGGCCTCTAACTGTTTTCACAGATCACAATCCTTTGACCTTCTTGAATTCTTTTCGTTGTCCAAATCAAAGACTTGTGAGATGGTCATTGTTTCTGCAGTCTTTTTCCTTGGATATTTATCATATCAAGGGGAAGGATAATGTTATTGCAGATGCGTTATCAAGAGCACCAAGTCAGTAATTTGTTTTTTTTTCTTTTCTTCTCTCCTTACCTGTCTAATAGTCACTTCAAGGTACCTGTCGTCGACTTATGGATGGGATCGGAGATAATCTAAGTTTTTGTTTCATTTCAGCTGGTCTGAGATATTGTTAGTGCATTTAATTTTGTTTTTCTATTTTTTCAGATATTAATGCACAGGTTGCCCAGGGTTCCAGTGGGGACCCTGTCTTGAAGAGGGGGGGTGTTACGGCCCAAGGCCTTTTTCTCTGGGTCTCTAACCTCCATGTTTTGGACTCCTTGATTGGAAGTGGAGGCAGCTGGCCAGTGTCTCCAGATGACATCAGATCCACCATAAGATGCACCACTTCCTCTGACTAGGCAGCTCATTCTTTCTGTCTCCCTGCCACTCTCTCCCCCTTCTCCCTTTCTTCCCCAACCAGTTATGGTTTTTTTTTGTTAAATAAATTCCCTTTTAAGTTATCTTTGGGTTGCTTCCCTTCATTTGTTATGGTTTAAGAGCCGGACCATAACATAATGACAAATTATGGTTAATACTGAATAATATATATTAGATACACGTTTATATAAAAATGTATCTAATTATTCATTGGCTGTTTTTCAGCCGATGAGTTCCAGCTTCAGAGATTCAGCAGCTGAGATCGAGTCCAAAATCCAATGTGAGATTCATCCGTGCTGCAGTGAATCCGTCTCTCTTTATATCTCCCTCTTCTTCCTCACATCGTGTCTTTAGGAAACTTTCAAAACAAAAACGGAAGATTTAGGATGTATCTTACTTTTGACGGTGTGAAAGAATATAAATAATAGTCTTTACCACCTGTGTAAACTTTGCCGGTCAATGTTATAACACATAATATAAGTTTTATAACATGTGTTATATTGTTTCATTTCTAATACAGGCCCTAGTGTGAGATAATCTAAGTCAATGTTAGAGAATAATTAATTTTTTTTTAGATTTACAGAATCTCAGTTAGCCTTCATAGCGGGGCTGAACCCGTATTACACCAAGCACTGTAGCTAATATTAGCTGCTATCTCGCCGGTGGACATAAATACAGTAAAGTCATATTCTAATCACAATATATACACAATAATATGTCCATCTTACTTGTGAAATGTTCTCTGTGGAGCCATCGCATCAATAATCCATCGATCAGAACAACAATATCCCTCAGTGCTGAGGCATCTTCTGCTGTTTTGGTTGAGCAAAGTAGGAGGGTATACCGCTCCAAGATGGCCGCCGCATTTCCTGCGCCGGAGCGGTGCATGAGGCGTCTATGCTTATATTATGTCTATGCATGCAGTTAGTAGCATGCCCGCGCATGCGCATTAAGTCCGACCATCAGTGGAGTTTTCAGTTCAGCATNCACTTGATTTTTTTTATTTTTTTTTTATAATCTTTCCTACCTCCCACCCACTGCAGAGCCCATAGGGATACAGAGATGAGTTAGAGGGAGAAAAAAAGTCCCCCAACACTGTGGTTTTTCAGAGTGCTGACAAGCTGTTCTTTGGCTATTAAATCCATTCCTCACTGTCAGTAGAGCTGAAGTAGCTTAGACCTGACTGAAGAGATGCTGGAGCTCCTGCTGCTCTGGGACCTACATATAGATATAGCACACTGAGGGCCGTGGAGTCCATACGGTGCATCGTGCTACGAGTAATCTGCAGGAGCAATGTGGAGCTGGAGTTATAAGGCAGCACCATCTAAAATATACCTTCAATATTGATGTTGGCATTGGCATTACAAAGTTTCCTCTGGATAATAAAAAAGATGGTCTGATTACGATTTCTCCCAACAAGAAAGGGAAACTATTCTGAAATGAATTTAAATTATTCAACTCAGTTCTGTTCAATTTAGCCGAGTGGGATAATCCTGTTAAACTTAGAATTCAAATGCTGTCAAATGGAATTTTTGTCATACTAGAATTTCCAACTTGATACAAGTATTAAGAAAAACATACCATTTTAGATATTTCAGTAAAACTTTTCTGAACAAGTTCCTTGTAGTCGAGAGCAAAAAGTATGATTAAATACAATATGACAGTATTTTAATGTCCTCAGTTAGGGGGAAAAAAACAATAAATGGGCAATAATCCAGTCCTCATTTATATTAAAAAAACATCAGTTAAAGCAATCATTTCCCTGTTCTTGAGAAGAGTTGACAAGATCACCCTTGTAAAAAAAGTTAATAAGTGATATCAGTAAAGTATTACTTTCTTATGTTGTAAATGTGGCCCCTACCATTGTCTGTTATTCTGTTTTACTATATATACATTTTACTTTTGTTTGCATAGACATGCTTCCATTTACTTTGAAACTGCTGCTGGTACACCTGAATTCCCCTGCTGTGGGACATTAAAGGATTTTTCTTTTTCATTTCTAATATCCTTTATAGAAGTGTACCTTTGAGTCAGTTGTCCATTTATTTTGTTTATTTATAACTTATTATTTTTAGTGTGCCACTGTGTGCTTCCATTTGCCTGTCAATTTCCTTTTAACACAAATACGTTTTACTACTAAGGGACCAGTAAAAGAAAATTAATTATTTCAAATGATAGAGAGATCAAAATATAAAGTTTATTTGTAGTCAAATTCTGCATCATCAGAGGTGAAAATAAACTTGATTTGCTGTTTTTTTCCCCTAATTTGGGTTTTACAGGGGTAACCAAATCCTCACTATTTCTGTATTGTCTTACATTTTCACATCTGAAGGGTTTTGTTTGAAAGGCAGTCTTAATTTTTCTATTATGTCGTCGATCCAAAATTCCAATTTCATTATGAATGAACACCAATAATTCCGATGATGGGTATTTAGCAGAAAAGGTCAACCAGGTGGTTGTTAATGCTCGGTTTTAGCAGCTGTGTGGAACCTCCCGCTACTTTTAAAATGTCTATCTGCACACTTCTGAGTGCTCAGAAGACAGGAAAGGTGTCAGACAGCCCAACTGTTAGCCCAGACACAAAATCTGCTCCATTGTTTTCTGTGCTAAACTAAAGGGCTACCTCCCAGTTGAATACAGTCTGGACTGTATTCAACCATTTATAGTTTAAACACCGAAATACTATAAAACAATGTCTATAAGACGCAAGCTAAATAATTCTACATCCACAGGAAATTCTTTAAATCACGGCCAATTAATTTGTGAAAATGCTGCATCAGAATTTAAATGTAGTAGGATCACCTCAGAATTAGACAAGCATCAAACATACTACACAAACTATCTGAACTTGGAAAATCTGGCAAGATGTATTCCCCTACAACAGTGATTTCAGAAATCTATCACAATTTCAGCTGACTTTGATTTGTAAAGACCAACTATGCAAGTGCACTGAAAACACATAAATACAATGCTTAATATACCCCTGCAAGTGAGTTGCATCTCATATTCACTTTGACTCATTATAGCCCTAAACTGTTATATGATACTGTTTATTTTATAAACTGACATTTTTTTTTATTATTGGTACAAATGAATAAAACAAACAATTTTTCAGTTAAGCATGGTTTTATGTCAAATAACACTTCCCCTTAAATCATGAATGGTGTTCAGGAGTAATGTATTGCAGTGCACATATTTTTTATTTTTTTTCATTTCTAAACTTTTTTTCCCCAAAATGTTGTTATTCTAATAACATAAAAATTACACATAGGGCTGCTTGGTGGATAAGATGATGAGGGAACTGACAAAGGGCTTCTATTAATAAAATGTTTGTTATGAACTTTATCTTGAGTCTTACTTGAGAAACAAATGGCCCTGTCAACCAGAACACACCATCTATAATTCTTTGTCTTTTTTTCCATAAACAGTTATTCTGCCTATGCCGGCCTTGGTGCCAGAAGATAAATAAGGGGAATTAATTTGTGTCAGGATGACAGGAAAGCGCTGCTCTGTTTGGCAGGAAAAACACAGCAGAGAGTGTTATTAATGACTCAACACAAGGACTGCAAGGACCATAGTTGCTCAAAAAGAGGTCAGAAAAAGAGAGAAGTGAGACAGAGGGACAGGAAGGACAGAAACGGGGCACTAATACAAGAATAAAAGGAATATTTTGTAAAGGGACAGATGAACAGATGGAACCGGTCTGGAAGTTAGAACACCCACCACTCCGCATCACTTGCTGCCTGTCCTAGTTTTCAGTGTCAGCAGCTTCGTCCCAGCTCTTTCAGTGCAGTGGTGTAATGTAAATGATTGGGCCTCAGTGTTTACTATGGAGGCAGCAGTTTGGTCTGAGAAGTGGTGACTTGAGTACCTGAAGAGCACAATTTGTTTGGCCTTGGCACGTTCAGTGCAACCTCTCATTCTACAAATGTGATTGTCAGTGAACTCTCTCATCTCAGTGAAGCTTGACTGCGTCTTCACTGTTTCTTCCTTATCCTAAGTAAGTTTATATTCTGTTGCTAGCTCTATCTTTTTGAAAGCTTAGTTTTGTATGTCTTTCATAAAATCCTTGAAACAGTAGCATCTACAGTCTGCATGTGATTTCTATTCCAAAAGTAACAACACCAAAGAAACTTAATTAGAAGTTATACACCCCAATTTACATATATTTTGCTTCCATAAAGCACTGATTTTCTTGTAACCTTGATTAATTATTCTCTGTGCTTAATGGAGATCGTTTTTCCTTTGGATACGGGTCCTTGTATTGAACCAAAGAGTTATTTCATACTGGTCAGGGTGCTTGAGAATAAGGAAAGTGAAATAGTATAGAGCCGCAGGAAAATGGCTCTATACTATACACTTTAGCAGTATCCTAAAGTTTTGTCTGTGCAGTCCAGAAAAGAAGTGAGCAATACACTTATCGTATTTGGAATTCTGTTGTTGCTTTTTTGTGAATACATCTCTACATTTTATACTTTCTCCCTTTGCAAAATTGATTTGTTTTTCAATTAAATAACATAGGATATATGTTGGACAAAATGTGTAAAAAGTTTAAAAATGATTCATGACCTTAATATTGTATATAGTACATACATTCATCAAGTATCTCTCAGAAAATAAGTGAACAAATATATATTTACCTGCTTGATTGTTTACAAATTAGGTCACAATGTAAGTAAGAAAATAACAGTTCTTATTATGTATGATACATATCGTATAATGTGCACACTTCATACTGGGTGCTTAACAACAGCATTTCTTTTCGTTCATGCACGCTTATGAAGAATAAAGAGTGGTTCACAAAAGCAAGGCTGGCCTGGGATTGATTTGGCAGACATGCATTTATAAAAGGCTCATTGTCCTTTTGTTGAGCCTTTAGAAAATATAGAAGTTTGTCTGAAAACATAAAATGGCAGCTACATTACACCAAAATTGGATGGATTTGCCACTGTTAATGACCTTCTGCTGTAATTTACAGAGAGAACAGAGCTTGTTCTGAGCAGGTGAATCTTTCTATTAAAAGGGTGAAGGGGACACTGTCCTTCTGTTTGTATTCACCGAATGAACTGAGAAGACACTTA